GTGATACAAAGTACAAAGTTGAAGAGTGAAATATGATGTTGATGTTTGCCAAGTTAATTGTTAGACTGTCAAGTTGAATGTTGTGATCAGCTTTGATTTTTGGCGGGGATGGAACTCCATAGATTTCATCGCCCTAGAAATCATGGAATGCGTGCTAACTTTTCTCGACGACAACCTCTGTAATTTCCGGGTGCTGTACGCATGCACAGGTGGCGCATGCGCTTTAGAGACCAGACGGCGATTTGTGACTGAAAGCGGAAAAAAAGAAAGCCGAAATTTAAACCCAGGCTTCACTGCCTGGGTAAAAAGATCTATTCCTAAGAAAAGGTGCTACTTATGCTTATACCTATTACGCTAGTGAAAACAAACTTTTGAATTCAAGAAGGCCCATAATAAAATGTCGCGATGCGTTATTACCAAGTCCACACAGCCTCATGCGTGCACGCATCTTACTAACTGCTGTTGCAGTTGGTTTTAGTTTTATCTACTACGAGTAACATCTCACATATAAATCGACGTCCAATAGGCTTTCTGTTATATTTTTTTTTTAAGAGATACGTTTGGAGTTGAGATTTAACGACGATTTCATGACAGTAAATTAGAATTTTAAATTTTATTTCTTGTAAAAAGAAAGGAAATAAGAGATTATAAATTGCTAGTTTTATTTTAAAAAAAAATAATAAAGGTAAGGTGAACATTGTTCGTTGGGAATGCGCCATATTTCACTACTTAGAATTTCAGATTGGAGTTAAACAAATCAGGTCATTGGCAAACACTTCCTGTACGTGCGAAAACAATGGAGGAGAGAAAACTAAGAATCAGACATATTCATTTTGGCACTTTAATGATATACATATTGCGACCGCTTTAAAAGCTGTCAAGAAGGAAGGTTTATTTCTTTGATATACTTAAGTGACAAGCTGTCAGTTAAAACAAAACAAAACAAAACGAAACGAAAGAGAGACAGGCGATCCTAGAAATCGTGTCATGCGGTATTCAAAGATGTCAATCCATTTGTTTATCACAAGGACGAACCGACTGTCGCATAAGTAATTTTAATAATTACCAAGGTATACAAGACTAAGCAACTTTTCTGCTCTTGTGGGTATTTGCATTTGTAGGGACAACGAGACAAGCAGCAACGCCGGGAAGATTCCATTTCATCACGTCGTAAGCAGCACGCAGAGATTTTTCATTGAAAATTTGCCCAAATATTTAAGTAATTCCTTTGAATCTGATTACTGGTCTCTCGTCTTCGAGGTTTACCAAGTTTCATTATGATTTAACAGCCAAAGATTCATCAGTGTGAGCTAGAACAGTTTTGTTAAATTTTGATCGACCACGCTTAACGATTGTTTGGGCCATAACAAGTTAAAGGGACAAAACGGAACATTGCAAGGGCGAAAAAGACTGAATGTTCGGCGTCACAATAGGGTGCAAAGGAAAACAATGAACGTACCTGCTATTCTTGGCCTCGTTGGACTTATTGTTTTTCTTCTCGCCGCCATTTTGTTATATATTTGCAAGAAAAGGCTTGGCGTGGAGCCGCAGAAATCTTCCTCGGCAAGTGCTAGCATCGTGAACCGCGATGGTGAGGAATGGGATGCCGTGTAGTCCCAATCGACCAGGGTTCATAAGTGTCAAAAGCAGTTTTATCTTTTACTCAGTTGATACGATTTTGTGCTATTGCGAAAGATTCAGTGGAAAGCTGTGTTGCGAGCTTTCTTCAACTGACAAACAGAGCAATGACTACTTCAAATAACGTACAGTCGTTTATTAGATACTACACGCACCTGCCCCGGCATAATGGCGGATCGTGTTTCAGAGCGATACAGTCGGTCCAGTTATCAAGTTGAAAGTGAGTGTTCTGCGCAAAACCACCGACATTCTTTCAAATATATGTACTTGATGACTCCTATTTCTTCCCTCTGAGGCAGTTTCTGGAAACATGACTCGATGCTTAAATTCGAGATCTTATCTTCAAGGTGACAGAATGCTAATTCTGCTTTACTCTGCCAAATGTATTTGTAACATAATCCAACTTGACATTACCCAGAGCACGTACATACAAGACCGCTCGAAGGTCTTGAAAATAAATGATATTCAAGGTTATTTTTGTTTTCTGCAGAATTACTTTAATAAGTGTATGGTATAGAAAAAATGAAAACACTTAAGTTTAGAACAGTCTAGTCCACGAATGAATAAATTTGAACAAGATAAAGAAAATAGGGATCGACGTTAAACGCAGGTGCAATTTTATTGTATTGCGTTTCATCTTGTTTTTTTCAGTTTTTTAATCGTTGTTCTTTTTTTCACGTTATTTTTAGTGAATGTTTAACCCTATGCGGTGCAGGTATTCAAACAAAGCCAAACTGCGCGTTTCTCAATGTTCCTTAATGAATGTATATATGTAACTTTGTCTAAAAGAGGTAAAATACTGAAGTTGAAGACCGCGCTCTGATACAATCACTTGACATAAATATTA